AGTGGAATTAATTCATTTCTCTCAGATGACAATATCAAGGATGGCGATCGCTTGCCATTACCTGTCAAGGATTTAGGCAGTTGTGAAGTGTATCCCCAAACACTTCAGCATAGTCCTAATGGAAGGTGAGGATATGTTTTATTAATGATGATTTTCATAAAATTATCAAAAGATCTCACTCCGATTTACCTTCAGATTTGTCGTAGTTTGTGGAGATGGAGAATACATCATTTATACTGCACTTGCATGGAGAAACAAGGGATTCGGTAATGGACTTGAATTTGTGTGGGCTTTGGATTCAAACGAGTATGCTTTTTTGTAGTTCTAGTAATGGTGAAACGAATTCATTATTACATAAATAAACCTCCTCACTTTCCTTGAAATGATAGATATGCTGTGCGAGAATCCGCTACAAAAATCAAACTTTACAAGAATTTTAAGGAAAGACCAAACGCATTGAAAGTGAATTTTACGGCTGAAGGAATTTTTGGAGGTACGCTCTTGGGTGTGAAGAGCTCTACCTTTTTGAATTTATACGATTGGGAGACGATGGCAGTTGTGAGAAGAATTGATGTTATTCCAAAAAGCGTAAGTTGAATCGATTTTTTAACAATGACGGTTTGAAATATGACACGTACAAATTATTCATTATTCAATTCTAGGTGCATTGGTCTGACATTGGTGACCTTGTGGCCATTGCCTGTGAGGATACCTTTTATGTCTTAAGATTTAATCGTCAATCATATGTACAATTTTTGGAAAGTGGTGGAGAAATAGGTGAAGAAGGAATTGAACAGGCTTTTGAATTTGTGACCGAAATTCCAGAAAGGTACATTAATCTCTTTAATATATTACTAGGATAAATTTACTCACCTTGAGATAATTATTGAATGTAGCATAAAAACAGGTACATGGGTTGGAGATTGCTTTATTTATACAAACACAGTTAATCGTCTTAATTATCTCGTCGGTGCGCAGACATTTACTATTAGTCATTTCGATACGTAAGTACTGTTTACCTCTTATGGAGTACGCCCTCATGTTTACCTATCAAAATTAATTCCTGCTAAAGTTAAACTTATCCGATAGAAACATGTACTTATTGGGATACATTCCTAAGGACAATCGTATATACCTAGCCGATAAAGTATGATTACACTTTCGAAATTTCAGTCGTCAAATAATCCGAGTTTGTGATCATTTGATTTGATTATTATAATTATTTGATTCAAATTTTTCTTATTACTAGGACGTCAATGTTTACAGCTATGCCCTTTCTTTGACCGTTATTGAATATCAAACTGCAATCCTTCGAAACGACCTTGAAACTGCTGAGCAACTGTTACCTTCTATTCCTAACGAACAAAGGAACCGAATTGCAAGATTTTTGGAGAGCCAAGGTTTTAAAGATTTAATGAAGGCCGACTCAAACTCTTTTAATATATAGATTAAAGAGTGAATTTATTTTTATGTCAGATCTCAAGGAGCTTGCTCTTGAAGTCTCAACTGATATTGAACACAAGTTTGAGCTCGCCGTGCAACTCAACAAACTTGATGTTGCCGTCGAAATCGCACGCGAAGTTGATACAGATTCTAAATGGAAAACCGTTGGCGATTCAGCGTTGAATGCGTGGAAGGTTAGTGTTATAACGTATATCTTTGATTTTAAAGAAAAAAGAGTGAAACTAATTTAACTATAATTTATCGAATGCAATAGTTTTCTTTAGCAGAGGAATGCCTCAAAAGAGCTAATGATATGAGTGGCCTATTGCTTTTGTACACAGCATCCGGAAATTCCAAGGGTATAAAGGAATTGGCCGAAACAGCTGGTGATTTTTTCTATTTAAATAGGATTTTGTTAACTATTGTACATTTTCCGAGTTTGTTGACGAAAGCATTTTTTTAGTCTCCACAGGAAAAAATAACATAGCATTTGCATGTTATCTACAACTTGGTCAGGTGGAAGATTGCATAGAAATTTTAATAAAAACAGACCGTATTCCAGAAGCTGCTATGTTTGCTCGAACATATGTTCCCAGGTTTGATATGCGCATTTATATATATATTGTCTTTATTATTATCACGAGCCTTCTTACCAATTTTACGTGATATTTAAATAGCCAAGTTTCTAGGCTAGTAAAACTGTGGCGAGAGTCTCTCGAAAAACAGAATAAAAAGAAGGCAGCGGAGGCACTCGCGGATCCTGCAGATTATGAAAATTTATTTCCGGATTTTAAATATGTTGGTTTCTCTCGCTGATTATGTAAAGAATTGAGAATTTGTTCGTGTTTATTATAACTTATTTCTGCTAATTTCAGGCTCTTATCGCTGAAGAACTTATGAAGAAGACGCGCAACAATGCAATTCCCTCTACCGCATACTCGGATTATAAAGATGGGCTTGAACAAGACATAATTACTGGTATTTGGCTTTTATCCTTGAATAAATTAATAATCTTAAAATGTTACTTAAACCCGAAATGCACAATTTACAGTGGTCAAAGAGAAATATCCAGATGGAATTTTGCCATCAAATCTTGCGTCACCCATACAAAGTCGTCCTGTAAGCAACATAGCACGTAGAAACGTCAATGGAGAGATTGATGACGATGTTTTATCATCAGTAGCTTCTGTTGATGACGATCGTATAAGCGTCGCTGATAACATGAGTCTCTTAAGTATGGAAGGTGAGTAAACTTGTCACTCATATTCATTTTTTATTATATATTTATTTATTTAAAAGAAAATTAACTTTATTCTAGTGAACACAACTGGCACTGGTTCTGTTCCGGTATGTACAATAAATAATAGTGTTTCTTCTCAACGAAAAATTCTAAAAAATTTTTTCCTCCGTCTATTTTGCTAAATTAGGGCGATGTCGATTTTGATGATACAGCATCATATGCAAATTCAGAGCTGGACCGTCGGGAGGACAAAGATTTAGATGATTTATCACATTAGAAGAAAAAAATTTTATGATTTAAATTTAAGTTGTTAAAATTTTATAGACTTAAAAACTGTCCTTATAATTATGTAATGAATAATAATAAAACTTTTTAAAACTTTATCAAAAAATATCTAAAATTTTTGTCAAATTAGCACTTTTTTTAAATCTAAATGTATATTTTTAATTGTTTTAAAATCGATTTATTTTTTATTAAATACAAATAATCCATAGTCAGATTAGATTGAGAATTTATTAACTAATTAAATACATAAGTGCAAATGTATTCAAGTAGTACAGTACATATAATATAATTTAATATTTTATAATAAACTTTGAATTAAAATTTTTTTAGTTTAAATATTATTATTGTTAAAATTGTTATTATAATTTATCTTATAAATCATTGAATAATAAAAAACTAAGTAAAGAAATGAATTTTTTTAAAAAAGAAAATAATTATAAAAAAAAAAACCTAATAAATATTCTATTTTCTTTAAAGGTTTGTATTTTTAAAACTTTTTAAACTATTTAAAAAACTTATTTATTTTTTGTTTTAATTTTTTTATATAAATTATTTATTCTTTTCTAAAAGTTTTATTTTTAAAATTATTATTATTTTTTTTTTATTTTATTTTTTTTTTATAGGCTCATGCCTAATCTTTATTAAATTCCAAATTACATTTTATACAATTGCACAATGTACATGTACAGGGGTGTATATTTAGGGGTAAATAAAGAATTCGATAAGCTAAAGCTATTTCAAGGCTTGTTGCTCTCTTTTTACAAAGAAACCAATATCTTACTGAGCATGCAAGTGTTATTAAAAATAAGAGAAAAATAAAATGAAAGGACCGGTCATGTACTGTTATGATAAAGTAGCTGTAATGTTTCTCAGCATATGTCTGTCCTGTTTTGGATTCCCCTTATGATAAAGGATTGGGAAAGCTTCTTCTGAGTTTTTACGGAAATAAGGTATGGATAAGGAGAAAGACTTTATAGTTTTAAGACTTGTGGGAAAGAAGTAATCAAAAAGGTCCAGGTGATATATTGATGTCTGCATGAATGACTTGAAAGTCTCCCAATATATCATTAATTAAACCCATTCCTATCTGAATATGGGTATACTTACCCATCTGTACAATGCATTTCAGATTTAATTCCTTATAGAAGGACTACACCTAGCCTCACGGTTGACATACTCTGCTGGTGATTATTAATATTAGTGATTGTCAAGGATCTTCCAGATTATCTGGCCGGTTCGTACATTATTGTTAACATTTTTGAACTCGAGTTTCGATTGATATAGTGGTGTTAATCTTCCAATCTTCCAGCTTGAGATTTTTTGAGGATAGGATGAAAACTTCTTGATATACTATGTGCACTAGCTTTACCACTGAGTGTTCCTAATCATCATTTTCACTTTTTCTAGTTGGACTTTTCCAAGCAATAGAAGTAGAAACCTACCTGACATACAATCAGGAGTAAGTGGCTCTGATTTTTAAAAGGAAACAATCGAGCATCTTGTGACCTTTGCTGTGATCGGATGGTCTCTTTCTTGTGTCCAATGATGTGTTAGAGGCTTGTTCTGTATCCATCCACACCAGGCAGTATGACTTATAGTGGATCCCAGGTTCTTATAGAATTGAAGAAATATATTCAGACACATGAGATGGCCAATAGGAGCTTATTTATCAATTTTATCCAATATGTTTTGTGTTAGTCAATCAAGATTGGTAAGATTCATGCTACCCTAAATTTCAGGATCAAGTTGGGGTAGATAAAATTCCTCAAAAAGCTATGAAAAGGTAGTTCTAAGAGGACACAAGCTGGTCAAAGAGTGGATGAATAAATCCTTTGATTGAAACAGAATCTCTATTATCTCTACCATGGCTAAGGGATGAGATATACTTCACTGTTGATTCTTTTCCCTTTAGTAACTTTCTTGCCATGGGTAGTAAAGGTAAGAGCTGAACTTTGTAGGTCACAAGAGTCCAGTTTATTCAAAAGAGATTGTGAACAAGAGGAGAGAGAAGTGAGAGAGTTCTGTAAGAACTCTTTGAGTTGATTTAAAGAAAGTGGTAAGACTCTATTAGTATAGAAGTATAAAATTTCTTGTGAATATCTTTTTTGTGTGTGATCAGAGGATCAGTAAAAAGAGTTTGATAGTTATGATGATATGTTTTAAAATTACTATATATCTTATTTTAATTTATTTTAAGTAATAATTTTTTATCTATCTATAATAATAGCTAATTTAAAATAAATTTTAGATTTTTATATTATTTAATAAATACTAAGTTATTATTATTATTTTTTTTAATCCATAATTGCATTATAGCATATCTTTATTGAGATATACAATATTACATAGATTATTCACATAATACTGCAACTAACTCATCTTTATATATTATTAGTTGAAAGACTACACTACTTAAAAAATATAAGAAGTCCATTAAACTAGTTTGAACTAAATAAAACAAAGTCTAAATTAGATACTTTAAATCAGATTTAGGGATAATATTATATTTTTCTGATAGATTGATTAGAACTTCTATCTACCAGGACCATCACTTGCAGTTTATTACTATAGATTATCACAAAAAACAATGAATTGCTAAATTATATACTGGAAAAAAAAAACCAATTCAAAGCTTTTCAAAAGCTTTTATTCAAGTAAACAGTTTCCTCTCAAAAGAGATTTGTCTGATTAAGATATTCTTTGAACTTTGGATTGTCTAAAGAACTTAACTATTCTTAAGTATTGAGATTTTGAGAAGAACATTTGGAAAACTTATCCTTCTACTGATATATATTATAAATTTGCTTATTATACTACTAATACTAATATTATATTATAGTATAATTATCTTAATTAGAATAAAAAAACCTTTATAGAAACTTTGTTTGATAGGAATAAAAGCTTGAAGACCTTAGTATTCTTTTTGAAAAAGCTTTTTTATTATTTGAGAAACTTGTTAATATATAAGAATATTACATTTTATATATTTTTTTTTTTTTTTTAATTAACCCTCTGTCAGGTTAGTTAGGTGTGCTTTATTAAACCTTTGTAAACTATACATTA